CTTAATTCTTTATAAATTACAGAGATAAATGTTGTTGTTAAGATCGAGTTACACATGAATAGATCAATTGCGGTGGTCATGTAACCTTAGGTCACATGAAATATCTAAAAAAAAAAAACAGACAGTAGAACGTTTATGATATTTTTTTTCTGTAAGAACAGTTTAAATTGAAAATTTTAGAATATTTGTTCTATAATATTTCAGGCAAAGTTGACTTTAGACAGTCTTAGATGTAATATTTAGTCCCTTTTTGGTTTTATTTTAATACCTAATACCGGTAAGCACTTCATTTTTGTTTCAAGTTATTCCTGAAATACGTGCTGTGCTATCGCAAATCATACAATATAATTTAAAAAATGTAAGCTCATCAATCACGGGGGAAATTGATTGGTTGTAATCCTGCTTTAAGATGGAGATCAGCAAAAAAATTTACTGTTTCTTCGCTTTTGACTTTATCATGTATTTACATATACCACATCCCTCCTATTCAATGAAAAAATAAGATGCACTTGTTTTAACTTTTGGAACTAGAAGCTACCAAAATGACAGCAAACTGGGTGTTTTCTGCATTTATTTGTGTCATTGTCAATGCAAGCAAGGACCATAACCCCTGGGCAGCATGGGTGAAAATCGCAAAAACCAATCTTATCTTCCATTTTGCCATGAGACATATCAAAATTTAAAAAGGAAAGGATTTAAGTACGGAACCGCCATAAAGCGCTTACTTATAATCAATCAAGGAGCATGACTTCTGAACGACATTTTGTCATCAGGAACAACATGCATAATAAAATTTGAAAAAGCATTTGTTGAACTGTTCTCAAGTTATGGCAAAGAAACAGCTAGGACCGTAAATTTCCTACAATCGTCATTGGTTTGTCAGAAATCGACGATAGTAACTTTAAGAAATGATTAATCTTGTAGATTTCAATATTGCTTTTATTTTGTTTGAATGTCTGTTAGATAGCCGCATTAGTTTCTTTCAGCTTCTTGTATAGAATTAACCCTAACTATAAGTAATTCTACGATTATATGCCAGAGATGAACTAAGTCAATATTTGACATAATTATGGTGTTAGACCTGAAGGCACCTTCCTACACTATTGATCTATGACAGTCATTAATGAAAGATTTATAAGGTAGAGAATTAGCTATAATTGAGCAAACCACTTCAGTGAAGAAGAGTCATTTGTATCAACAGAATGTTGTTCACAATATATACGTAGTAAAATAAGTTTGGCATTAATTTGTTCTTTGGACCGAAAACCAATTGAATCGCCTCGTTGGTCTTCTGGTAGTGTGCTCGCCTCTACCGCCGGAGGTTATGGGTTTTATCCTATCCGGGACAAACCAAAAACTTAAAACTTGATATTTGCTGCAACACTGCTTTCCGTACTGCTTAAAACACAAATGCATCCATCCATGCATGAGATGCTAATTTACAAGTTTACAACTAAGAAAACTTACAACTTACCCAATAATTTACTAAAAGTTAAAAATATCGAGAAGTACAATACCAAGTGATCAATGTATAATTAACTACATTAACTGTAACTCTATTTTTAGAGCATCTGGGATTATTAATTCGAGTTTTTCTTGTTCTGTTTGAAGTGATGAAAAATGTAAATAGTAAAATTAAAGATACATTAATGTGTAATTTTCATATAACATGTTGCTTGTAATAAATATGAAATCTCGTATCATAGGATAATATGCATATCACATGTTACTTTTGATATTAGTTATATCAAAGTTTATATTAAATAAGATAATTGATCATGCATCAGAACACTAATTTATAATTACAGTGACGAGGGGACATACATTTGATAACGAATAGTCCATGTTTTTATTTCCCCCAAAAGATATTTATTAATCAAGTAAAAAAAAAATGAATTTCAGCGTTTAGAATTGTTACGAAAGCCGATTAGTGTCAGAGTGTAGTTTTTATTTTAAGTCGTTATGGCGACTTAGTTAATTCGTTATCGCGACTTAGCTTACTCGTTAAAATGACTCGTTATAATGAATTAGTAACTCGATTTAGCTTACTCGTTATAACGACTAAGTTACTCGTTATAACGACGTAGAGTGTTTCGACATGTCTCCATTTAAAGCATAGGAAAGATATCAATTGTTTCAAGAAGTTTTCCCTTTAAAGCATACGCATGATTTAACGTGATCAATAACTGTCTCCCTTTAAAGCTTATGATTTTATAAAAGTCTCACTTTAAAGCATATAATAGATAACAAGTGATTTGTATAGGTCTCCCTTTGAAGCATAATATAAGATATCAAGTTTTTCGGGGAGGTCTCCTTTCAAAGCATAGGAACGTAATCAGGTGCAATGGTTTATATAGATCCCCCTTAAAGCATAGCATGATATAATAGTTTCTTTCTAAAGCATGAGAATTATATGAAGTACTTTATAAAAGTTCACTTTTAAAGCAAAAGAAAGATATCAAGTGTTTCATAAAGGTCTCCCTTTCAAGCATATGAATGCTGCCATTTAAGGCATAGGAATGATATAAGATGTTGTAAAGAGGTCATTCCCTTTCAAGTATAGAAATGCCATCAAGTGTTTATGACGGTCGTCCTTTAAGGCATAGGTACGATATCAGGTGTTGTATAGAGGTCTCATTCCCTTTCAAGCATAGCAATGCCATCAAGTGTTTAGGAAAGTCTTCCTTTTAAAGCATAGTAACGATATCAGGTGTTTATAGAGGTCTTATTTTCACGCAAAGTATTTCTGGAAAGTTTTCATTTAAAGCATAGGAATGATATCAAGTGTTTTATATAAGTCTCCTTTTAAAGCATAGGAATGATATTACGTTTTTTTTTTTTTTTTTTTTTTTTATAAAAGTCTCCTTTTAAAGCATAGGAAAGATCCCAAGTGTTTTATAAAAATCTCCTTTTAAAGTATAGGGATGATATTAAGAGTTTTTCAAATGTCTCCCTTTAAACCATTTAAATGATGGCAAGGGCTTTATAAATATCTCCCTTTTAAGCATATGAATGACATCAATTGTGATATAAAAGTCTCCTTTTAAATCATAGGAAAGATACCAAGTGATTTATACACGTCTCCCTTCAAAGCATAGGAAAAATATCAAGGGTTTGATCTATGTCTTTCTTAAAGGCATAGGAAAGATGTCATGACTTTTATAAATGTCTTCTTATTTTTAAACAAAGTAAGTATATATATTAAGTGTAGAAATGATATCAAGTGTTTCAGAAAGGTGTCCCTTTTAAGTGAAGGTATGTCAAATGTTTCAGAAAGGTCATAGGTCAAACGGACCTAGACAAAAATCATCGGTTTTCTATCATTAAGGATTATTGATAACAGGTAAAGCTCATTCTTGGACAATTACCAGTTGAAATCAATGTCTGTTGTTTCCAGCGTTATAGGCATATAACTTGATGCAGTGTAAATTTGTTATTGATATTATGTACCCTTCTAACCACTCTTGTCGATTGGGATCACGTCTCCATAAATACGCAGTCAGGTCTTACTTTGACACAAGCCAACACTGTTTATTTTTCCATCATCACTGAACAACTCTAAATGACAGATTATTATTTCTGGCAAGATAATCTCTTTTCACATATATCTAATAGTATAACTTGTCTGTTTAGTTATGTCCCATACGGCTGTCGTAATCAGACCAGACAATATCTATCAACTTCAGATTGGTGTCATTTTTGAAATGAATTTTTAACCGGCCAGTTTTTAGTTTGAAAGCCTGAGTTCTTAAAATTTCGTATAACACCATCATACGCCCAAGTACCTTCAGACTGATTTTTTTTGGACCCCTCTTTTTTAAAAAGACATTAGGTTTGATTACGTATGAAGATTATTTGTACCAATTTTTCTGAAAAAGTCAACAACGAAATTTTTTAAAATTAGATAAATATACAGCAAAAAAAAAACTTTTTTTCTTTCTAAAAACCTGAAACTTTGATAAAAATTAATTATTGTTATACAATTTTAGAGCATACTTATGTTGAGAAGATATTCCAAATGTTTTAACAAAAATTCGCTTGTGTTTATCTTTTGAAACAAAAAAGTTTCGTATGTTTATCCAAAGGATAGAAATGTCAAAAAAAACTGAAATTTTGAGTAAATGTCTAAAACTTCGACCCCATTTATCTCTTAGTTTAGCACATGAAGGTATATTTTTTATTACATATTTGAATTTACTAGGTGAAAAATAGCTTGTATGCAAATTTTCGTAAAAAAAATCAACATGGGATCAAAACTGTATCGTATGCTCTTAACTATATTCAATACATTCCATGAAAGTCGTGTAATATAAAAAAGAAGATGTGGTATGATTGCCAATGAGACAACTCTCCACAAGAGACCAAATGACACAGAAATTAACAACTATAGGTCACCGTACGGCCTTCAACAATGAGCAAAGCCCATACCGCACAGTCAGCTATAAAAGGCCCCGAAATGACAATGTAAAACAATTCAAACGAGAAAACTAACGGCCTAATTTATGTACAAAAAATGAACGAAAAACAAATATTTAACACATAAACAAACGACAACTACTGAATTACAGGCTCCTGACTTGGTATAGGCACATACATACATAATGTGGCGGGGTTAAACATGTTAGCGGGATCCCAACCCTCCCCTAACCTTGGACAGTGGTGTAACAGTACAACATAAGAACGAACTATAAAAATCAGTTGAAAGAGGCTTAACTCATCAGATGGATAAACATACAGATACTACAAATACAAGTGGATGTGGCCGGGTACTTGTACATCCTAACAACAAAAAGACACTAAGTACAGATCTGAGAGTAATGTTTGACTATCATGTGTCGGTTTTTTTAATTGGCCTAGTCATATATACTGTTCCTGTAGTCCATATTATTTTGTACGACACTATATCCTTTTAATAATAGGTTGGAATAACTTACAGGGATGTGGAGAAATACATGAGTGTTTGTCCTCGGTAGTGAAAGATACATACAAAGAAATTAAAATACATTTTTTTCTTTTATTTGTAGACAAGGAGGTATGATAAGATCTGGTCCCTGAAATTACAAATATAGCACAATTTTATCAAAATCATGTAACCTTTTTGGTCAACGAATTGTATCAAATTATTTGTGCACTGCGGTTTAGAAATTTCAGCAGTGCTGTCACTATGATGCCAAAACATGACAATTTTTAAGCTAATTTTTAGGCGAAATTAGATATGAGCCACAGCATTAACAAATATGATAATTTATCCATATAAACATATTTTTACAAGAAATCTTAGAGCAGAATAAGAATATCAAATTATCAAAAGCAAGATCTCAATAAAATGGCTATTTTGACAGTTTCTATCGTTTTTCAGTAAAATACAGAAGTAAAGAACCCCAAAATAATTTTTTTTAATAAAAACGATTTATTTGAAAAATACAAATACTGATATTTGACAGATCGAGTCTTTTGAACATCTGTACAATATTATTTATCAGATTTATAATAATCATTTTGCGAATTCAAGGGACCAAAACAGTTGCCATAGCATACCATCTCCTTTTTTACAATGAAAAATAAATATACAATATAAAGACATGATATAGAATCAACTTAACTGAGTAAAACAAAACAATATAACCAACAATATAACAACAACTAACTTAACTCGAAGACACCCATTATTTTCTATTTTATTTTAAGATGGATGATTTTTTTAGTGTTTTTATTGTATGTGTTGTAATGTTACGTATGTTAGAAAATAACTGAATCCTAAAAACATTTCCTGTACGTTGTTCTCCTTCCTAAACAGATATTTTAGCCGGTATCCATACTGCGTTTTCTATCTCTAACCAGGTTGTTAAGCCGGTATTCAATAATGTGTTTGGTTATTTTCTAAACGTAACCATGTATTTTTGTCTGTATCCATACCTTGCTTTATTTTGTTCTTACCCAACCAGGTAGCTTAACCGTTTTCACAATGCTTGTACTTTAGCCAAACCAGGAACTAGTTTTTCATACTGTTTGTGCTATAATCTAACAAGGAACCTTTAATCAACGTGTCTTTAGTTTACTAAAGGGTTTCTTTGATGATTTAGTTCACGTAAGTTTCACTGTTTTTTTTTTCTCTAAAAGTATTCACTATTTTAGGAAAGGAACTACAAAATGTACGTAATAGTCCTTTGTTAAATATCGTGAAATACTAAAATTTGTAATTAGATGTCAATGATTTTAAATTTTCAATATGTTTATTCCCTGAATCATAATAATTTTAATTGTTTCTTGTAAAAAAAAATTCTGGTTCTTAGCAAGCTCTGTATCTCTACGTATGCGTAGTAGTGCCACAAAGACTTTTTAAAAATATTTCTTCTTATACGTTTTTTTTTAAATATCGCAAACGAAATAACGCAAACATAAAAAATATGTTGTCTTATTTCTTATTTAAGTTTCAATCGGAGCAGCTGATACAAATGGAGGAGTCTGTATTTATCATATTTCTTCAATCTTTGCATTTATTGCAAAGGGAAATGCTGGAGTGTTTAGCATAATAATGAGCAGGAGAACATTACAAAGAAAATTGAGAAAAAATTGAAGTTGTACCGAAGAAAATTGAAAACCAACCCTGTTAATGTAGTCGAATTTCTATATATTTCCAAAGTAAGCGCTCTTATGAGCCTTGTGAAAGATTTGTCAGATCCGAACAAGCTATATATATACCCTCTTGAAATAAATGTACAAGATAAAGATTTTTTTTCAATCATTATTATATTTTACTAAAATAGTTACCTTACTAGATTGAAATTTAAAACCCCTTGATTTGTTTGTCGAATAATCTTTATCATATTCTGAGATTTAAACAAACGCTTTCTTACATTAAAACTTAAAAATTTTCATTCTAAATAATTTATTTTAAAACCGAATGATCGTTTTGTCTATTTGACTTAATCGTTTCACAATTGTATGATTTTTTTTTGCGCATCTCTACTTTGCCGTTTTCCGTAAAAAATCATGGACATTGCATTTTTTCCCTGCTTTTTTAGTTCCGTTATATATATACTATCAATTTATAGCAGTCTTTGAAAAACAGAGTAGCGAAAATCCGTATGTGATTTTTTTTTATTGTTTTTTCTGTCAGACATTTTGCACACAGTCCAAAGACAGAAAGATTTGAAAAAGGGAAAGTATCAAGCAGGAAATAGTATTAAAGGGAAAGTATCACGCAGGAAATAGTATTTCTATTTTTTAATAATCGGTAAAACTCTACACATACTTTAAACGATTTGAAAAAATAAAGATTTTTAAACTTCATATTCATATAAACATTTAAGATGTCGATATCCAATAATTTGTTTTAATACTTTTCTATAGAACAATTACAGAGATAGACATCACACATTTAACAAACTGAATATAAGTTTAACCATTGAACAGCTTCTAAAAAAATTGTTAAATGGCAATAAACTAGGCATCAAGTAAGGTTGTTGTTTTTTATTTTTTTCATTGTAACAGCTCGAATGAATAGATATCTCCATTCTGTTATTAAAGTATGTTATGTTTTTTACTAAGAAGACATGATTTTTGGGGACCATCTTTTGGTTTAATAAAAGCTTGAGGACTTTGAAGTCGATCACATCTTCCTCATAACATTAACAAAGTACAATGCATACAGCTACTGATAAATTACAATAAAAGTTACATCAACGACAAGAGATATATCGTAAAGCAACATTATAATAATTAAATGTCAATTTTTTTACAATTTCTGGTAAAAGAAATAAGGTTACACCAACATTTAGTTGAGTCACCCCGTATCTGATTAATTAGCAAGAACCCATAATGTTCAAAAATACTTTCTACAAAAGCCAGATTTTTATTTAGCTTAAGATATAAATTGCAAACTAATTTGTTATCAAGCTCTACGTATATCACATAAACATTAATTAGTAAATTTTATTACATCACGTGTATTTTGTTTGTTATTTGTTTTTGGTGTATATTAATAAGTCAAGTGTACTGCTCACTTTACTATTTTGATAACCGAGTTCTGTCCGTATGAACATTGTTTGTGATCTACAGAGTGTATGTATGTTGCTTGCATGGAAGCTTCAGACCAGAAGCCCATGTAAGGTGAATGTCAAGTGAAATTGTTTTTAATCAGCATAAACCACGTGATCATAATAACGTACATGATTGGAAAGTTGATAGAAACGCGTGATGAGGTATTACTTTTTTGACCGGATGTTGAGGATTCTTTCCCTAAAGATTCAGAAATAACTGAAAGAGAAAGAAAACACATATTATGTTAAATAACCAACATAGATTAATAATATAATAACAGATGAAAATGAAATTTTCGTCCTTTTGTATCTCATGTCAATTTTAATTGTATAATACTATAAGAAGATACCTGGGACTATTATACTAGTATAATAGTCCCAGAAGATACCAATAAAAACGCTCTCATTTGATTTTTGTTTTACAGGAATTATGTGTACACCATATATCCTTCTTTTCCTTTTCACATGCGCAGCTTCAATGTACGAAAACTAACAATACTTTTGCATATGGTAGGCTTCAAATCGGCCGTTAATTTAAAATTCGAATCATATTTACTAACTTGCTTATGTAAAACAAACGCAATCTATATATAAAATAAGTATATGATTAAGAGGAAATGTGGATGAAAACTTCGTTGGGGAGACAACTCGACAACGCAAATGAAATCGAAATAGCAACAATTAGGCGTATTTTTGTTTGATGCAAGCAAAGTCATGTAGTCTGTTGGCATTTAGAAGACACTTCAATATAATACTACACTGTCGATGTTAAAATATTTCATAACTCATGTCAAGACAAACATGGCAGTGACCATTAGTGGAATTACATGTAATGGTCATCAAATGAATGTTTAATGCAATAAAAATAACATTACATACCTCTTTTCTTATTATTTGTTTTCACTGAAATATAAAATAAACTAAAATTATTCTTTTTCAAACATTTAAAACATATCATACATGTGTATGGTAGATATCGTCTAACAACACTGATGTTTTTTTCTAATAAAATATCTCATGTTATGGGACTGTTCTACAATGTATATACATTTCCAATTTCATGCGGCTGTTTATTAAATATCAATGATGGAGTCGTTTATATATCAATGAACTGTACTGATAGTTTTTTAAAGAAATTTCTGCTTTTATGTAAGAAAGAGGTTCGATACTGAAAAACACCGGTTTATCTTACAGTTTTATTTGACAAGGTGTACCGATTAAGGATTCTAATGTTTGTCTTGTAAGTGCCTACGATTAATTAAACTCTTATCCTCCATCTATGTCTTAAATATTGAAATATCATTACTGTTAAAAATAAATCATAAGATCTCAGTAGCATGCCTGAAATGACACCTGAATGCTGGTAGTTAAATCATAGGTTCTCAGTAGCATGCCTAAAATGACACCAGAGTGCTGGTACAAGGTTTTAATTTAAATTACTTCAGACATAATCATAAAGTGCTTCTTTAACAAATATGCAGAACTACTAATACATAAAAAGTTCGCTACAAATGATAAAAACAAAGGATAAAAAAAAGTTTTAACAAAAAAAGTTCTACAAAACACATTTAGCAGGATATCTTTGGAAATTTCATCACTAAGCCTAGAAGACCTTTCTACACAATCTCAGGAAGTTCTCCAGAAGTCCGAAAACAACCGGTATATTGTACTCGTCAACTAAAATGTATTTCTGTCTTGTAAATACAACTCACCATCGCTGAGAACCGTAATTCTGTATTCCTTTACATATTTATCTGCAGATCTACAAGTATATGTACCGGAACTAGACATGGTGGCCTTCTTTATTTGCAGTGTACTGTGTATTGTCTTTGAAACACTTGAAAATCTGTCCTTAATTGAAATTCCTTCTGCAATACTTGATTGTAACAAATACCCATCAAAGAACCAATCAATGCTAGCCACTCCAATGTAGGTGGCGCTGCATTTTATTACCAAAGTATCACCTACATGCGTCAGGTCAGGACCTGATATCGATATAACTGAAGAAAAGAAAATGATTGACATAAAAGTAATAAGATGTGGTAAATTTATTATAAGTTCAAAATCTACAATTTTTAACCTGCTCACACCGAATACATTAGCCTTATCAAATAATAAAAGCATTCTCGATATACATGTGCATGTGTTTATTCATCATACCATTCTCATAAGTATTCGCCTGTCCTAAGCCAGGTTCTTGTTCAGTTGCTTAGTTCAATGTTGATTATTTTTGCTATTCAGGGTTCTTTCATAGCTTACAGTATGGGTTTTGCTTAATATCATCGAGGTCCGTACTTGTTTACATTTTCTTTCCATGTTATTTGGTCGATAGTTGCCTCATTGCCAATACCATATTTATATATGAATGTGGCTATAGGACAATTGTTCAGCTCAATGGAATATTGATATTGTGAATATTTTCTGAAGGGCCGGGGTACTTTCATTGTTAGTAGATTTTTGTTGTTGAAACAATAGTGCACAAGAAACAAACATTTATTTTGGAAGTTCTTGATTAAACATATAGTTACCTCAAAACGCTTCTTTTACGGTTATAAATCGTAATATATACGATATTCCAAATGCTCTTTTCAAACTATATTCAATAATGATTGGCAAAAGATCTTCATTGTTCCGAGACATCCATAATAAAAATCAATTAATTGTTATTTTCGGAGATAGAGTTACGCATTATTTGACCAACTGCCCCCTCTAATATCAGATTCGTTCTCTTACTGTTATTTGCTTTTAATGCCTACTATGTATTCATTGAGACCAAAACATACACAGTGCAACATATTTTTGTAATGTCTGGAGATATATTTAGACGACTTTGGTTTAATTGAAGACCGCACATTGACCTCACAATGTATGTTTTAGTTTACTTGTATTTTGTTGGTACAGCATTGACCTATAACCTATTTTTTCTGGTTACATTGCTATAGCATCTTTATAAAAACTGCGTGGATAAATTGAGTGATTGAAATCAGTTTATGTCACACAGGATCTGCTAGCCCTTTTGAATCACCTGAGATCACCCCAGATTTTTTGTGGTTTGTTTTGATCGCTCAGTCTATGGTATCTTTCGCCTCTCTTTATTTTACTTTTAAAAGTCATTATAATACGTAGATGTCTTCTCAGAGCAGTAAGATTATATGTAACATTTACCTGGTGGAGGTTCTGTCTTGTCTTCTTTTGGACGAGCTGAAACGAAGGAAGAATTATAAGAAAAGGCAAATTACTGTTACGTATCGTTAAGGAACAATATTTAATACAAAAAAAAGACAGACTATTATTCATATATAAGATATAAAATATGGGGATGTGGTATGATTAACACAGAGACAAATACACAACAGAGTCCCAAATGAAGCGTATTTAGTTAACCTGGCATAGGTAATCGTACGGTCATCAACAATGAACAAAACACATACCATGTAGTCAGCTATAAAAGGACCCGACAAAACGAAATGTGAAGTTTTAAAAACTTAGAACTGCCTTCTCTTATCTGTAATAATGAACTTATATTGGATCGTGATGATTGCATGTTCTCATTGGACTGTATATACTTGTATAATTGATTTTTATAGTTTGTTCTTATGTTGTACTGTTAAACCACTGTCCCAGGTTAGGGTTGGCGCCTTCAAACTAGTTTAACCCCACCACATTCTGTATGTGCCTGTCCCAAGTCAGGAACCTGTAATTCATTATTTTATACATAAATTAGGCCGTTAGATTTCTCGTTTAAATGGTTTTGCATTTGTCTTTTCGGAGCCTTTTATAGCTGACTATGCGGTATGGGCTTTGCTCATTGTTGAAGGCCGTACGGTGACCTATAGTTGTTAATTTCTGTGTCATTTGGTCTATTGTGGAGAGTTGTCTCATTGGCAATCATACCACATCTTCTTTTTATATTTGTTGCTTTACAATGAATGTCGGAGAAAGGATGGTTGGGAAGAAGAAAAAAAAAACTTTTTAAGTTGGCCCGAAAAGAAAGTTAAATCGATGTTGGTTGCTGTCTAACTCGTTGCAATGTTCTTTGTTTTCTATTTCTTATTAATTTCAAAACTGCCGTAAATAGTTTTTTTCCCCGTGAACATGACAGTATGCAATATACAGTTTTTATCAGTGTATGATTAAAAAACAAAAGTCATTAGCTAGCAATATACCAGCAATGCAACCTCTCATAAAAGTCTAATGCAGTATTCAAATAATTTAAATGTTTTAATGATTACATTTTAATTATTTTATTTTGAAAACAAATGTTATTTCTATTATTAATCCTACATGTTAATATACGGAACGTTTTCCAACATATAAGCAGCAGCAAATTTTGGATTAAAAAGTCTGAAGTATCAAATTTGCTTATTTTTTGTATAACTATTTTATTCTTAAGATAATAGAATAATTTTTTCTAAAAAAATGCTACATTATAAAATGATCATCCTAATGTTCACTTGCATAATACAGTTCTTCTTTTAACTGAACTGTGCCAGAACAAATATCGAGTTTCTCTACAAAATCAGATACTTGTAACTGATAAAATTGGTGTGAAGTACTATTTTCACCAACACAATCCCTCACTTTGTACCATTCGTTTAATTATATTCTAAAAGCAAGGTACAGTACATAATTTCTATCAAGATCGAATAGTCTCTTAAATCACTTCAGCAATTGCTATCAAACAATCACAAGATCATCTTCTTGTGAAGATGTGTTTTATAGCGAACAAATGAACCATAAAACATTTGATAAACTTCTACCAACCTATGAAGTACAGCACGTTTGATTTTGTAAGAAATTCCTTCGATAAGAATTCAGTTAAGTGATAAGCTTTGCTTTGTCATTATTCCTCCCACTATTGTGATAAAGTGTCGTTTGAGAAATAAAACGGTCCTTCTAACAAAAATATATCAATATAGTTAAGTTAACATCAATGACACAGCAATCCGAGGACGACACAATCTCACCGAAGTAAGAGATCTAGGTGAACATGAGGCGTGAGTAACGCCATACTTCTGTTACAGTGCCATGCATTTAATTATAATGTGAACATGGGGAGCGAGTAACTTTATACTGTTGTTACAGTGACATTTAATACAGTTTTCAGTATAAAGATATAACAAAAATACCGAACTCCAAAGCAAATTCAAAAAGGGAAAGTCCATAACAAGTGTAATACAACTGCCCTATTCCTGACTTGGTACACGCATTTTCCGAAGAAAATGGTTGGTTAAACTTGGTTTTATAGCTAGAAAAACCTCCTACTTGTATGACTGTTGTTTATAGTTTCGTTTTATTGATTTAATGTGACACTATCATAGTATTGTCTAACCTATAAACAGGAAGACATATTGGTCATTATATAGATGCGTGATTTTGTTCATTGTCGTATTTATTTTTGTTTTTGGAACTGTATCTTTTTTTAAATATTCTTATTTCTAAGATATTTCTATTTATTCTGAAGCTTCAGTTATATCGTAAGAAATGTATTTCCATTTCAAATTTGACGCCTGGGCTCAATGCAGAAAGAGATATCCAAAACTGAAAGGTGAAATAGATGTAATCTCCGTGTTATTTCTCGGCGGATATATAATCCCCGTGTTATTGCTCGGTGGATATATAATCCCCGTGTTATTGCTCGGTGGATATATCATCCCCGTGTAATTGCTCGACGCATATATAATCCCCATGTTTTTTCTCGGCGGATATATAATCCCCGTGTTGTTTTCGACGAATATATAATCACCGTGTTATTGCCCGGCGGATATAAAATCCCCGTGTTGTTGTTCGGCGGGTATATAATCTTTCGAGTTTTTCTCGCCGAATATATAATCCAGGTGTTATTTCTTAGCGGATATATAATCCCCTTGTTATTTCTCGGCGGATATATTATCCCCGTGTTATTGCTCGGCTGGGCGGATATATAATCTCCGTGTTATTGTTCGGTGAATATATAGTCCCCTTATTATTGTTCATATAATCCCCGTGTTATTGCTCTGTTCGGTAGATATATATCCCCATGTCATTGCTCTGCTCAGTGGATATATAATCCCCGTGTAATTGCTCGACGGATATATATATAATCCCCATGTTATTACTCGGTGGATATATAATCCCTGTGTAGTTGCTCGGCGGATCTATAATCTCCGTGTTATTGCTCTGAGGATTTGTAATCCCCGTGTTATTTTCGGCGGATATATAATCCCCGTGGTATTTCTCAGCGGATATGATCCCCATGTAATTGCTCGGCGGATACATAATCTCCTTATCATTGCTCTGCACGTTGGATATATGATCCCCGTGTTATTGCTCTTCTCGTTGGATAAGTAATCCCCGTGTTATTGCTTGGCGGATATATAATCCCCGTGTTATTGTTCGGCGGATATATAATCCTCCGTGTTTTTTTCTCGGCGGATATATAATCCCGGTGTTATTTCTCGGGGACATATAATCCTGGTGTTATTTCTTGGCGGATTTATAATCCCCGTGTTATTTTTCGGCGGATATATTATCCCAGTGTTATTGCTCTGCTCGATGGATATATAATCCCCGTGTTATTGTTAGGCGGACATATAACCCCCGTATAATTGCACGGCGGATATATTATCTCTGTTATATTGCTCTGCTCGGTAGATATATATCCCCATGTTATTGCTTTGCTCGGTGGATATATAATCCCCGTGTTATTGCTCTGCTCAGTGGATATCATTCTCGTGTTATTGCTCGACGGATATGTAATCCCCGTGTTATTACTCATCGAATATATAAGCCCCGTGTTATTGTTAGGCGAATATATAATCCTCTTATTATTGTTCAACGGACATATTATCCCGTGTAATTGCTCGGCGGATATATTATCTCCGTTTTATTTCTCTGCTTGGTAGATATATATCCCCATGTTATTGCTTTGCTCGGTGGATATATAATCCCTGTTTTATTGCTCTGCTCGGTGGATATCATCTCGTATTATTGCGCAGCGGATATATAATCCCTGTGTTATTTTTCTGCGAATATATAAGCCCCGTATTACATTTCGGCGGATATATAATCCCCGTGTTATTGCTCTGCTCGGCGGATATATTATCCCCGTATTATTGCTCGACGGATATGTAATCCCCATGTTATTACTCCGCAGATATATAATCCCTGTGTTATTATTAACGGATAATTCAGTAAAACCTCACTAGGGTGAAAAAGGAATGTAAATAATTACAAAAATCAGACACATGGTCTCTTTTAATGTATGTACGCAGTCAGAACCCCAAGCAATTCAAGCGTGACCTCACGTTGCATAGACACTCTGACGGACAGAATATGTCAGCAACTCGTGACGACGATATTATTGCAGCATTTTTAACGTTACCAAAATGCAGATTTTTGTCATGTCGACAGCAAATATTTCATTTCAAGTGAAAGACATTCAAGAAATCACGGAGTGCAAACTTACCTTTTACTCTAAGAAATATATGTTGTCGTATATTTTTATCTTTTGAAGGAACCTGGCATTCATATGTCCCTGTATCTCCAAATGTCAAATCTTTTATGCTCAAATCCCAGTTGTTTCGTTCTGAATTATGGTCTACGGAGAATCGATCATCTTGTGTGAATATGGTTTCACCGATGGTTATAGGACTTTCCTCAGGAAGTTTACGCCAAGAAACCTGAAAGAATAAATGTTCTAAACTGAACTTTTTTTATTGTGTGTTCTTGCCTGTATCTTACTTTATTCATTTATCAAGATAAACAGGTTGTTAAAGTACCGAAACAACTAGTTGGACCCAGTAACTTTAAGTTAGTATCCACCGGCCAATAACACGGGGATTATATATATGTTATAGACTGGACCCAGTAACTTTAAGTCAGTATCCACCAAGCAATAACACAGGGATTATATATATGTTATAGACTGGACCCAGTCAATTTAAGTCAGTATCCACCAAGCAATAACACGGGGATTATATATATGTTATAGACTGGACCCAGTAGCTTTAAGTTAGTATCCACCAAACAATAACACGGGGATTATATATATGTTATAGACTGGACCCAGTAACTTTAAGTTAGTATCCACCGAGCAATAACACGGGGATTATATATATATGTTATAGACTGGACCCAGTAACTTTAAGTTAGTATCCGCCAAGCAATAACACGGGGATTATATATATATGTTATAGACTGGACCCAGTAACTTTAAGTCAGTATCCACCGAGCAATAACACGGGGAATATATATATGTTATAGACTGGACCCAGTTACTTTAAGTTAGTATCCGCCAAGCAATAACACGGGGGATTATATATATATATGTTATAGACTGGACCCAGTAACTTTAAGTTAGTATCCATCAAGCAACAACACGGGGATTATATATATATGTTATAGACTGGACCCAGTAACTTTAAGTCAGTATCCACCAAGCAATAACACGGGGATTATATATATGTTATAGACTGGACCCAGTAACTTTAAGTTGGTATCCGCCAAGCAATACCACGGGGATATATATATATATGTTATAGACTGGACCCAGTAACTTTAAGTTAGTATCCACCAAGCAATAACACGGGGATTATATATATATGTTATAGACTGGACCCAGTAACTTTAAGTTAGTATCCAACAAGCAATAACACGGGGATTATATATACAACTGTATGTTATAGACTGGACCCAGTAACTTTAAGTAAGTATCCACCGAGCAATAACACGGAGATTATATATATGTTATAGACTGGACCCAGTAACTTTAAGTTAATATCCACCAAGCAATACCACGGGGATTATATATATGTTATAGACTGGACCCAGTAACTTTAAGCTAGTATCCATCGAGCAATAACACGGGGATTATATATATGTTATAGACTAGATCCAGTAACTTTAAGTTAGTATCCACCGAGCAATAACACAGGGATTATATATATGTTATAGACTGGACCCAGTAATTTTAAGTCAGTATCCACCAAGCAATAACACGGGGATTATATATATGTTATAGACTGGACCCAGTAACTTTGGGTCAGTATCCACCAAGCAATACCACGGGGATTATATATATGTTATAGACTGGACCCAGTAACTTTAAGTTAGTATCCACCAAGCAATAATACGGGGATTATATATATGTTATAAACTGGACCCAGTAACTTTGAGTCAGTATCCGCCAATCAACAACACGGGGATTATTTATATGTTATAGACCAAAGTTGTAGACAGAATGTTGCTTTCGGCTTCATTTTGTGTCATAATTACTGTGTCAATTAAATGGCGTGGACTCGGTTAGCGGATATGAAAAAAAAAATAATCAATGCTATTTAGTTTTTGCGTATTTTCAGTCTATTTGTATAAACTTATTAGCGTTGACATCAAATTTTTTATTTTTTTATATCTAGCAATGTGTAGTATACTATATCCATTTCTGTACACATAAGTTCCGTACACTCCAAAAGCTCAGTGTGCTCAATTAATTATTCTGAATACAATGTGGCGTTTCATATAGACGTTCAGTTCCGTATTTGTATGTCAAACTTTCTCTCTTGGGTATAATTATATATACTGTCACATATGGTATGTAACACGATAGAACTATTCAATCAAAAGATATGACAAACAGTCACCGGCTTATTTAAGAAAGTTTTATTTTCTATTAAAACAACTCTTAAAGACCAAAAGACAAAGCTGTGAACAATTCCAAGTATGTTCTATTTTTTTTTTCTGATTCAAGAAAGAGGACCATTAAAAAGAGATTTAAACAGACTCCCAAGTCCTTTCAGCGTTTTTAATACGATACAACATTTTTGATTCACATTTTTTTGTCACAAAATTCAATGATGACACGAAAAAAGAAACTAAAGTGACGTCTTCTTCTTTCTTTCGTTAGAAAAATGGTCCAAGATGACACGATAAGAAGATGGAAAACTGTGATCGCCAAAAGATTGACGACTGTTTCTTTCTTGGTCTCCTCAAATAGAATGATTTGAAAGAGAAAGATACATCATAATCGAACAAAAGAGAAATATAAACCATATTCGAACAACAGAGAAATATAAAATATAAATCATATTCGAACAAAAGAGAATGTCAAGCCATACTCGAACAAAAGAGAAAGATAAACCATATTCGAATAAAAGAGAAAGACGAACCATATTCGAATAAAAGAGAAAGATAACCCATATTCGAACAAAAGAGAAAGATACACCATATTCGAATAAAAGAGAAAGATAAACCAAATTCGAACAAAAGAGAAAGATAAACCATATTCCATAAGCTTTAAATACTTGGAGGTTTTTTTGGTAGAAATAATGAGATATATAATGATTGACACGGAAATACTACAAAATGTATCCATTATAGACAAAAAGAGAACGATGTTAACAAGAACAGGTCGCCGTAAAAACTATACCATATGGTAAACTTTAAATACCCTCCCCCTTGACGTTTTTATTTTTTGTTAATTTCAAATTACCAACAAGCATAATTTGTCAATATTAATGCTGTAAATGTCCATCTCATTTAGTAAATGAAATGGACTGAAAACAAATTTAACTTAATGACAAATGACAATTTCTCAGGAATCATAAAAAAATTACAAGCTAACATATGATAGTCTCATTATTGTAGCCGTCTGGATGTCTCCCCGTATCGTGTCAATTTCTATAGTGTAAATTTACATTGCAGTCACACTCTGTGTTTTAGTAATGAACATCGATTACATGTCATCACCATACACATTTTAATTATTAAGGAAATCCGGGAAAACTACAAAACTACATCAGAAGTACAGATGCTCTCGTGTCAGAATTATACCATAGATATTTGAAACTATGTATAATTATGTTCTTCTTTACTTGCAAAATATTGAACAATAAACGTTGATATATATCGTTTTGGCTTTGTGGTTTTGTGAAACCAATAATTAGAACATTGCATTAGTAATTGTAACTCGAAAACCATAATTAAACGTTTAAAACACTAAGGTTTTCTACTTCTTAATATAGATTGCAGTAGTCAGATTTATTGCAACTTTTTGGAGTTTTGTGGTTTTCCCTGTTCTTCGTTATTGATTTGTTTTCCAACTATTTTGATTCGAGCTCCTCTGAAGAGTCTTATGCAGATCAATTGTGCACATCTGGTGTATTTGATCAAGATATAAAATTCAAGTTATATTTGATGATGACGATGTATTGGTGTTTAACTTCCAGTGGCGAATATAACATGCATAACAAGGCGAGAATATGTTAATGTGATTTGAAAATGAACCCCATTTTATACTGAACCAAATTTTCTTACTCGCTAGTTCACAAATGTACAATCTGTAGGACAACAGATCATCCTACCGAGATCCACTGAGTTCGAGCCGACCAATCTTTGCTCTTACTCTTAAGTGTCGCGTGCTTATCGCAGGCTGAGCAGTAAATACCAATTTTTATGTCATTGGGTCCATCCGGTAGGGGATAGAGCCCATGACCTCCCACACTCGAGGCGAGCACGCTACCACGAAAGCATCGAGGGGGGTTTAGTATATTTGATAAGTTTGTACTAACACTTGATAAGTAAGACAATTGATTTTCTAGATATTTCCTGTATTTCTTTTTATTTACTATCAATATCATAGCATAAAACTGTACTCAAAAATCGAAACACCATATTGAAATTATGGATTTTTTTTCGTGGAAATACACGTATGTGTTATATTTGACTTGATGACCAGCTAATTTGACGCATTTTTTTAATATAAAATAAGTATAATGCCCTATACTGAGAGTTGAGGATAGTTTTCGACTTATATTACACATATGCATTCATATCGGCAAACCCATTAATAACGATTAAAACTTCTTTACTCCTTCAGCATAAAAACGATAAATATGAATGGATACTATAAAATAAACATGAAATTATTTTTTTGGGGGGTTGGGTTGGAACAAAAAACTTGGTCATATTTGGACTTTCTCGTGAAATAAATGGACAGTTTAGAAGGGTTAGAAAGTCTAGCCTCAAATTCGTCTTCAATAATCCTTGTGTACTACAAACAAATGATGCTGTGTTTTTTTTCCTAGAAGGCTGACACCCTCTCTATCGAGACATGGGTTACTTATTTTATGCCACATAATGACAGACTCCCCACAGTCGGATGAACTGGGTCAATTTTCTATACCCGGAGTTCCCTCATGAGTTCCTTGTATAAACCTGATAGATACGAACACCGTAAGTCATGTGTTCAGTAACTATCGTCAATTATAAAACATGTCACTGTGTTAATATCATGTGCTCCATCATTAGTGACTGAAGTCTGACTTACGTGTCTGGCACCTAGGTTTTCAATCACACATGACAAATTAGCAGTGGCGCCAACGTAAAAACTTATGTTCCCTGAGGCTGACTTAAATCTGGGTGTTTGGTGTCTTCTTCTGTAACCGTAGTCTGTGTTACGACCTGTAAAAAATAATTTGATTACTTTCAGGTCTTAGGTCATTTATTTTTGGTCTTCTATATATTGCACGAAGGCAATCTATCTGCTATAAATGTTTTAAAATTTCAGATCTATCAAAATCTACAAATATTGCCAACTAAACAATACTTATGCATTCACAATTTAAAATTCCTATAACATGAAGTCATATATAGAACAAAATATATACTAGTATATAATCAATGTTTGCTTTGGTGTGTTAATCCATAAAATTGATATGCGAATTTCAAATACTGTAATGTATTTTCATATTTATTCCAGTTCAGTAGGTTCGATATGATAAAACAAGAGGCTCTCAAAAGCCTGAATCGCTCACCTGTAATTTTTTGCTTAAATCTTTCATCAATGATTATTTTTGCTTTTCAATATATATCTATGAGTGGCTTAAAAATGCCATTCAAATGTTCTTTGTATCTGTCATATTTTCTTTAAAAGCAAAAAAAGGCATTTTACCTCTATGTTCCATTTTAGCCATAGTAGCTATGTTTCTTGACGTACACGAAAAAAAAAAATACAAAATTTATACTAGATACTCTGAAACTCATTCAGCCCAAGTTTGGCTGAAATTGATTCAGCAGTTTCAAAGGAGAAGATTTTTTATAAGAAATCTAGATAAACAAATTGTGAAAAATTGTCTTTAAAGGGCAATAACTCCTTAATGGGTCAATAAACAATTTGGTCATATAAACTTGTTTGTAGATCTTACTTTGCTGTTTACATTTTTGCTGTTTATAGTTTATCTTTATGTATAATAATATTCAAGATAATAACCGAAAACTGCAAAATTTCCTTAAAATCATCAATTCAGGGGCAATAACCTAAAAATCAGATACCTGATTTGACTGATAATTTCAGGGCAGGTAGAACTTGACCTAATGAATACTTTAATTTCTTGTCTGCTTTACTTTTTGAGATATAAGTCAAAAACTGCATTTTACCCTATGTTCTATTTTTAGCCATGGTGGCCATGTTTTCTGAGGAGACAGAAAATAAAACACAAACTTTATTCTAGATAACCTAAGAATCATTCAGCTTAAGTTTGGTTCAATTTGGTTCAGTATTTTTAAAGGAGAAGATTTTTTAAAGTTAGAAAACATGATAAACAAATTGTAAAAAAAAAACTGTCTTTAAAGGGCAATTACTCCTTAAGGAGTCAATTGATAATTTTGGTCATTTTAACTTATTTGTAGATCTTACTTTGCTGAACATTTTTGCAGTTTACAGATTATCATTATCTATAATAATATTCAAGATAATAACGAAAAACTGCAAAATTTCCTTAAAATTACCAATTTAGTGGCAGCAACCCAACAATGGGTTATTAGATTCATCTGAAAATTTCAGGGCTGATAGAACTTGACCTAATGAACATTTTACCCCTTCAGATTTGCTCTTAATGCTTTAGTTTTTGAAATATAAGCCAAAAACTGTATTTTACCCCTATGTTCTATTTTTAGCCATGGCGGCCATGTTTTTTGACGAAACAGAAAATAAAACACAAACTTTATTCTAGATAACCTAAGACTCATTAGTTTACTGTAGTTTCAGAGGAGAAGATCTTTGAAATAGTTTACACCGGACGGACGACGGACGACGACGGACGCAAAGTGATGGCAAAAGCTCACAGTTCCTTTTGGAACGGTGAGCTAAAAAGATAAACGTCGTATCTTCAATTAGACAGAAATCCAACGATTAAATGGTATTTTATGGTAAACATGTATTCTTCAACTAAAAACGGGTGTCTTTGTAAAATGACCAGGTCTAAATCGTATCTAGTCTAAAAGTTGGTAAATGTATTCATTAAATATTTTCGATACTGATTTACTCTGTTCAATGTCGTTTTGTGCAAGATTTGGTATTTCAATATGACCCTTTTGCATAAAGAGAGCGTGACAATCTCCAAACAGGAGACATCTGGAAGAGGAGAATGGGTAACTCTCCAAACATGAGACATCTGTGAAGAGAGTGCAAAAGAAACTCTCCCAACACAAAGCATTGATAACAAAGCGTGACACTCCAAAAACACGAAACATTGGTGAAGAAAGCATGAAACTCCCAACACGAGACATTGGTGAAGAGAACGCGAAACTGCCAACACGAAGCATTAATAAGATAGCGTGACACTCTTCAAACACGAGACATCGACGAAAAGAGCGTAACACTCTACCAACATGAGATATCGGTGAAGAGAGTTTGAAACAACTATCCCAGAACGAGACGCCAGTGAAGGCAGCGTGGCACATCCTTATACGAGACATTGGTGAAGAGAGCGTAAAATATTCCCAACATGAGACATCAATGAAGTGAGCGTAGCACTTCCCAACTTGAGAGTTCATTGAAGAGAGTTTGGCACTTTCCCAACGCGAAACATCGATGAAGTGAGCGTAGCACTTTCCAACATGAGAGATCGGCGAAGAGAGCATGTCATTTTCGCAACACGAGACATCGGTAAAATGAATGTGGCACCTTCCTAAAACAAACCAACGGTTTTATATGTCCGTAGAATTGCGTTTGAGTATATAAGTAAATATAATCCAACGCAATCATAGGTTTGAACGTTGTTTTCAATTTAGACTTGTTTATATTTTTTCGTTTGGGCTTGTATTATATTTGCCTTCAGGTTTATATGACCCGTTCATCCTATTTCGACTCTTCAAAATTCAAGAGTCTATCCTAAATTGAGGTAAATTATATGGCCTTCCAAATACTGTTTCGATTCCTAACATCACTGAAGAGACATTAATTGTCGAAATCCGGATATGGTGTACTAATTTTTGCACCTTTTGTTTGCGGTATACCATCTTTTCCGCAAGTTTATTGTTTTCTGTTTGGTATTATTTTGTAACATCTGGTGATCCGTTTATTTGGCAATCGCCAATGGCAGTCAGCAGGGTTTAAGAACATCCGTTGTTCGACCTGCTTGTCAAATGCGTTTTGTTAGAATATAATTTTTCACTTTTTTGGTCTTTTGGAAAATGTTGTGTGTGCTGTATTTAGACCCCTCTACCAAGAAATTTGTTTTGCATGCACACGTATAAAAATTGCGGTTTTTATCCAATGCAATCATAGGTTTGAACTTTGTTTTCAATTTAGACTTATATGTATATATAATGATATACAATGAAACGTATATTGGAGTGAAGATATTACACAAAGTACTGTGAACCTTCTAGCAGATATAGAGAAACAAAACGTCTTTGAATATCAATTAAAATATGTTTTCACGTCTTACAGATGTAAATAATTCCAATTCTGGGAATGTGCTTTGATATAACCAGCAATAACAATATATAACTAGTTGATTAACAAGAGCAGAAACATTGTTAAATCTTTACAAGTGATACATAGAAATGATTTAGTGTAAAAAGTCTAATAATAAACCTTTTAATAAAACAATTATTGAACTAATGGTTTCGAAACTGGATTCCCTCCAGAAATTATTCCGTTTCATTCTAGAACTGATGTTATATAACAACCCACAATGTTTTTACCAACTAGAAAAACAATTGTCCACTATCGAAAGAGGGAAGAAAGTACACTGACTGTTGATAGAAAGCACCAAGAGAGGTAAATGACTGTCGAGCTAAAGTCACATTAAGAGGGAGATAAACGGATTGTCGAGAGAAAACATGTAAAATGACTGTCGAGATAAAATAACCATAAACGGAAGGTATATTGGCCATTGGGAGAAAGTCACAACACGAGGGAAGTAAAACGACTGTTGAAATCTATAAAGCCACAACAAGAGGGAGGTTAACTGCCTGTTGGGAGAAAGCCGTAACAAGAAAGAGAGGTAAACCGACCATCTAAAGAAAACCCCCACAAAAGTAAGATTTGATGACTGTAGAGATAAAGCTACCACGAAGCAGAGGCAAACTGACTGTCGAGATGAATCCTTCACAAGAGGGAAGTAAAGACTATCGGAATAAAGTAATAACAAAAGGGAGGTATAATGATTGTCGAGAAGTAACTACAACAAACAGGAGGTAAACAAACTGTCGCTAGATAGCCCCACTAGATGGAGTTTAAATATAAAAATAAGGAGTTATGGTATGATTGCCAATGAGACAACTGTCCACCCAGGTTCAAATGAAGTGGATGTAAGCAATTATAGGCAACCGTACGGTCTTCAACAATGAGAAAAACCTGTCGAGATGAAACCAAAACAAATAGGAAGTAAAATGACATACGTATTAAACCCCACCCAAAAGGGAGATGAAATGACTGTCGAGATAAATCCACAGCCAATGGGAAGTAAAATGACTATCGAGAGAACCCCCCTTTAAGAGGGAAGTAATGGCTGTCGAGATAAGTCCACAAACGGAAGTAAAATTACTATCGAGAGAACCCCCTCCGAGAGGGAGGTCATGGCTGTCAGAATAAAAAACCCACAAGAGAGGGGTAAATTGAAGTTCGAGAGAAAGCCCCCGCAAGAGGCAGGTACAATTACTGTCGAGAAAAAGCCACAACAACAGCAAGGTAAAATGACTGCCGAATAAAGCGACAAGAGGGGGAGGTAAACTGACTGTCAAGCGAAACCCCCAATCAAGAGGAATATTAGTTGACTTTCGAAATAAAGCCACCACAAGAGTGAGGTCAAACGATTGTCGAAATAAAGCCACAACAAGAAGGAGGTAAAATGGCTGTCGAGTAAAAGCCCCCACACGGAAGATTAAATTACCGTCGAGAGAAAGTCACCACAATATTGATATACAAACTTATTTTGTTTATGGTTCAGAACAACACTAAACATGGCAATACAATTTATAAGTGTTTGTCTTACGAAATTATGCGTGGTACAGCAGACAATTTACGAACCATATAATTAAACTTAAAGAAATTCTGAACTATATTATTTCGACCTTTTTGAAAACGTTTATTAGGTGCTCGATATTATGCAACGCCAATGAAAAATTGATAGTGTGTTCACATATATGTCAATATTTTGACGATAATTGATATA